TTCAACAGAGATAGCTGACTGGGTGGCAATATGGCTAATATATAACTTTGAATTTTTTATTTTTGGTGAGTGGCATGAATGCATAATTGATTTATTTTATTAGGGTTCATAAGCCATATAGCTCGTTAAATTCTATTTAGAACCGTGGTTTTTGAGTACATTTTATTTCGTATGGAGAATTTTTTCATGAATTTAAACGTTAACGGGTTCATATACACTTCCATTATTAAAATTTCTGTGATACCAACATGAAAATGTCTACTGACGAAGATATTTCAAAAATAACGTTTTTATTGCGTTTTGTGTTATTTGGATCCCGTGTATGAATAATTCTCCCTTCCAATGCATTTCTTACACTTTCTTCTTAGATTTAGTTGTCGGAAGTAAGTGTGATTTTACTTTGAATCACGAATGAATCAGAAACTGTTTATACTCTCCGTGAAATTTTACAATTTGGCAACGTTCATTATTTGTATTGTTCCTATTGGTCAATCGAACAAGAAGCGGGACTAGGCTCGTGACGTCACGGGCCTAAAAAATCTGTTTTTTAATAATTAATTACGGGAAAACAACGCTATTTAGAGAGCTGAAACAAAGTACACTATTTTTCAATTTGAAATTACATACTACCAAATTAACTGTAAAACCAACAATCATGAAACAAGCCCATTACTTTTGGAGTCGGAAAAGGTTACAAATCGGACTCTGATGAAAGAGTTTTTCTCAGAGTTTCCAGAAAGTCGGTTCTTTTGAGGGAAGCTGTTGAATATCAATTCTCACGCAACGGCGGATGTTTATACGTCTTGCCGCTTTTGATAATGTATATTGCAGTTGTAGACATGGAACCTCCAGCATAAAAACGAGAAATCTTATATTCATTGATCATTATTCAGCGTTCATTCATAAATCAAGCTATAAGACCACTATAGAATAATAAAGGGTCTCACTCGGTAATTTTGTTTGTTCGCGTACCCATTCATCCAGAAATGGGCCTCATCGCTGAAGACGATTTTTCGATGAAAATTAGAGTCAGTGACCAACTGCTCCAGAGCCCAGAGAGGATAAGTCTTTGCCTATGGTCGTTTACCTTCAGTTCCTGGGTCAGTTGAATTTTGTACGCGTGCAGGCCCAAGTCACGACGCAAAATTCACCAAGTTGTGGTCTACGAAAGACCAAGTTTTTGAGAGCGACACGAAATCGACTGGTTCGAATTCTCCTGCACACTCTCACAGACGGCGGGATGTTTCAGGCAGATCTTGCGTTTCGTCGACGTAAGGGTGTTGGTCGATCATATATTGAACCAGTGGACTCAAATTTTTACGTTGTTACGTTGTACTCTCTTTTGGTGGGGAATCTGCCTCACCAAAAATTTTCTCAGTTGTATATCTCAAGAAAAAAGCTTTTGAGAACTTTCCTGTAGAATGATGAATGAATTTTTTGATGGTAATTTCAATGAAAATTAAAGCAATTGTTCATCTTTTCACATACCTCAATGTGAATGTTCTGGCAAAACACCGGTGGAAGAACCAACTTTCTGATTAATTCAAGACTTTGATAAATATTTCTGATTTCGAATACCTGAGTATCCTAGCGTAGGAGTATCCTCCCTTTCTGGGTGGAATTGAGGTCTAGCAATTGGTCTATGTAATCACATTGCTCTTTAATGATGTCAGATTTTCTCTACTTTAGTTGGAAATGCTCAATTAGGGGCCATTTTTCCGAAAATCTGATATGTAGGAAATCAAATATGATCATTTCAACGTGGCTCAAAATATATTAAACATGTGGCCAATTGATCTAGCTGAATTTAGATGTAAGAAAAGTTTGTTCAAAGACTCAACAGTTCTGTACATATTTGTCTTTAGGTATCTGTGATCACACAGTATATTACATTATTATAGATGATAATAGATATATTCAACTCTATTA